GGAAGCGTATGCCCCTGGAATTCGATATACTCCTCCTAGAGAATTCAACCAATCGCCACGAAACTCGGTCAGCATGAAGTCAAGACATTGAGGATGAAAAGTTGCCAGGGGATTTTTGATATCTCGAACGGTTTGGCCGTGGCGAGGAAACGAATTTATGGCGAATAAAGGAAACAGGAAGTGTGTTATAACTTCTGCATACATTAACTGATCTTGATGAAACTTCAGCAGTGTGTTCGCTGTAAGAGTCCGATCACATGGATGTGACTATTGTGAGTCAAAGTTATAGCGCCACCAACTGGCAGCAGGAAGTGTGTCACTTCCTAAAGGCTTTGAAATCACCCTCTTATTTTTACCCAATTTGCTTCAAACTTTATGTGTATAATGTAGACACACGGCAGATGTAGACCTGAGAAAGGATTATTGATATCTTAGATACTGTTGCCGTGGCAACGCATCAAACTTTATTATTCTTTGTTGATGCTTTTGAGACTCTTAACATACTTGAAATTGCATGAAACCCGACAGACACATCACATTTATTAGACAGTAGACATGTGCAGAGTTTCAGAAACGGGCGTGGTGAGGGGCTCAGTAGCGCCACCTTTTGTCAAAAGTGGGGGGATTGATTTTATCTACAGTAATAAAAATCGGTATGTGTATTGTTCTCCTCCAGCCAGACAACTTTCTAATTTACACTCAATAGCTCCAACCAACAGGAAGTCAGATATTTTGGTTTGAAAATTGTCATTTTATGTCTCTCTCTCTCTGAGCCTACGTCTATGTGTGTGTGTGTGTGTCTGTGAGTGTGGGGAGGGGGAGGGGGGCTAGATTAACCATTTGACTGCTGTGTGGTTTGGCCTGCATTAAAAAAGAAAAGAAAATGTCTTACGCCTTGTATTTTTTAAATAAGTTGTATTAATAAGTAAAGGCATATAACCAGTTGAATTGTAGTGCATTGAAAATAGTTTTATATAATTAGTTTATTAATTAAATTAACTTGGTCAGAAAATTTGGTCCATAAATCAAACACACTTGCATGTAATATTATGAAACTCTGTACACATATAGATCTCATCGGGCCAAACAACTTTAAGCCAGCCCAACAGGAAGTGGGCTATTTTGGTCTTAATGTGGATGTTTTGCAAAACCAGGCTCTACATTTTTACCCACTCCTCTTAAGTGGTTTATTTTATTCCCACCAAACTTTTTCAACATGATGAAAATACATTAAAGAAGCATAATTGTGAATATCTATTGAATATCTCTAATTGTTTTGCTATGGCGAGGGATTAAAGTCATGTAAAAAAAAATAAACACTAAAAGCCTCATATCTTCTAAAAATTTAATTATACACCATTTATTTCTAGATAAAATTATACAAATATCAGAACTAAACCCATTTTATTCTTGTTTTCAATTTAAGAATAATGTACAAGTTTAAAAACAGCCAGGATGCACTATTCAGTTAAAAAATAAATATATCAAATAATACATAGGGCTATACTGCCCTCTTGTGTTCAAAATCAGGTAGGCCTGTTGTATTTAAATATAGGTAGCTGCTATGTGACTCCGAGAATTTTTTCTCACCGGTTATTTGACGTGTAACACCGGGGGCTTTTATATCGCTAAGTTAAAAGTGAAAGTAAAGTAAGGACATTTATAGTGGGGGCGCTCACAGTGCGCTCGAATGAATTTCTATGGAAGTAGAAATGAAAAAACGTTCGCTCTGTTTTGCTCGCTCGTCGCCATGGACGCGCACCGTAATGAATGCCACTGCAGCCGCATACTTTTTAGTGTCACTTTAAAATTAGTGCAATATCGGGGGCCAATTGCTTGAATTGTGAGTTCAATAGTCTATTATTTTTCACGGAAAACACAACAACAAAAGAGTACAATGATAGATTCGCTTAAATAGGCGCTTTTACATAAAATAGCCTATTCCGTCATCATCTTTTCAGTCAGCTCTTCACTCTCGTGATTAATGAAATTTGACTCCTGTTGCTGATATTTGCTGCAACTTTCGTTCTGCTCACAATTTAGTAAGCAAACACGCTTCAAATGTGTTTTTATTTTATTTTTGTGTGTATATATGTGTGTATATATATATAGCTTATGTTTCAAATATGAGTTAATTAACAATCGTTTGAAAGAATGATACTTTTAAACATATCACTAAGCCGTCATTAGGTGTCGCCAGGCGACCGTCTTAATGAGCGAGTCATTGATTCATTTGTTCGAACGATTCGTTCGAACGGCTGAGTCATTCATGAATGAGACAGATTATGGATTGGTCATTGAATCTTTGAGTCAACCGATTCGTTCAAAATGCTGAATCATTCAGTAATGAGAAAACACGTTGCTGTGAGATGCTCGATTGTTCTGCTGTGATCTTTGTTTAACTAGTTTCACTGCTGAAACAGAAAAAAGTCAATATTGCATATAAAATGTAAGTGATTTGACTTGTGTGTGTGTCTGTGTGTGTGTGTGTGTGTGTGTGTGTGTGTGTGTGTGTGTGTGTGTGTGTGTGTGTGTGTGATTGTGTCTGTTACTTTTTGGATATATATCTTTTTATATAAAAAAAAATAGGCATACAACCCATATATTTTAAATGTATTGTTTGCTTTAAATTACATTAAGATTTGTATGTTTGGTAATTGAACCTGAATGAATTTTAAATGAATGTGCTATATTTCAGAGTTTTCCTTAAAATTTGACCTAACACTAACTTTATTCTCATCTGAATGATAGATTATTTATTTCTGTATAAAATAAAAAAGAGATTTTGGTTGGGTGACAGTTGTAGTTTACAGTTTGACAAAAGCACAATGTTGTGTTTTATTGCGATTGTTCACAAATATAAGTAAACACTTATGAGATAGATGTTTATGGATTGATTGGTCATTGAATCTTTGAGTCAACCGATTCGTTCAAAATGCTGAATCATTCAGTAATGAGAACGCGTTGGTGTGAGATGCGCGATGGTTCTGCTGTGATCTTTGTTTAACTATTTTCGCTGCTGAAACAGAAAAAAAGTCAATATTGCATCTAAAATGTAAGTGATTTGACTTGTGTGTGTGTGTGTGATTGTGTGTGTGATTGTGTCTGTTACAGTGATAAGAGTTTAACCCTTGTTAAACTTTAGACCTTGTCTTTTTGGATATATATCTTTTTATATTAAAAAATAGTCATACAACCCATATATTTTAAATGTATTGTTTGCTTTAAATTACATTAAGATTGTATGTTTGGTAATCGAACCTAAATGAATTTTACATGAATGTGCTATATTTCAGATCATATATTTGTTTTCCTTAAAATTTGAACTAACACTAACTTTATTCTCATCTGAATGATAGATTATTTATTTCTGTATAAAATAAAAACACCTTTGATTTTTCTTTTTTAATCAATGTAGAATGTGTAACTGAAAAAATAAACAGATTAGGGCTTTGTTTGATGACAAGAAATGAAAACCAATGCGATATGATGAATGTCCAAAAGATGGCTCCCACAGACTGTTTTTAAATAGGATTGTTTGATATTTTTTGCTTTTAAACTGTGTGTGTGTGTGTGTGTGTGTGTAAGAGATATTGGTTGGGTGACAGTTGTAGTTTACAGTTTGACAAGAGTTTATAGTTTGACAAAAGCACAATGTTGTGTTTTATTGCGAGTGTACACAAATATAAGTAAACACTTTGCAGTTTGAATAATGTCCTGTATGAACAAAAGGACGGAGTATGTCTTTATGTCTACATTGTTCAATTACGCCACACACACACACACAAACACTATTTTTCTAATCAGATCAGGCAAGTAATATTCTGTCTTGTCTCTTAAAAAAACAATATATATATATTTATGTATATATATATATATATATATGTGTGTGTGTGTGTGTGTATATATATATATATAAATATAGCTGCGAGCAGCGTGAAAGGGCCAAAGCCGGCGGCACCGCCACCCCGGTTATAGCGCCACCAACTGGCAGCAGGAAGTCTGTCACTTTCAAAAAGCTTTGAAATCACCTGATTGCTTCAAACTTCACTACTATGATGTAAACACACGGCAGATGTAGACCTGGATGTAGACCTGACCTTTCAGAAGGTTGCTCTCGCATACTTTGTGGTTGACATTTGCCCTCAATGCACACTTTTGCAGAGCCCACACTGATACAAGCTCTACAGCACACTTCTTTTCGACAGTCAAAGCAGGGTTACGTTTTTGCACGTCGTGCACAATAACCCTAAAGGCACCAGGGTGGCGGTGCCACCGGCTTTATATATATATATATATATATAAATAAATATAGCTGCGAGCAGCGATGAAGGGCCAAAGCCGGTGGTACCGCCACCCCGGTGCCTTTAGGTAACTAAAGGCACCGGGGTTGCGGTGCCACCGGCTTGGGCCCGTAATCGCTGCTCGCAGCTATATTTAAAATTGTTTCTGTTAATTGAAATAAATCTAATATTAAATAAAACATAAATATTAGATGAAGTTAAAGATAAAATTGCTAAAATGACCAAAACTAAACTGAAATAAAGATCAAGCTAAATAGTAAACTCATATTAACAAAATTACTACAACTAAAATGAAAATGTCTCCTGAGAATATAAAAATAACTCAAAATATTAATAAATATTATAATAGAATATAAATGATACAAAAAAACAACAACAATATGCCAATATAAAACCTATATATATAATATATTATATAATTAACATATATATATATATTTCATATAATATTCTAACATATATTCAAATATATAATTAATGTTGGCAAATTATTTTTCTTTTAATACAAATATACAACAAACTGACTTTCCTTTTGATTGTGATATTGTGGTAATAAGGTGATATCTGGAGCTATACTGCTTGCTTTCTTAATTTGCTAAATTCCTAAAATGTATAGATGTTAATCCTATTCATTATCATATTATCCTCTACATCCAGATGTTTCAATCATGCTGTTTTCTCCTCTCTCCTCCTCAGTGACGGGCTTGTTACTGGCAGCATGAAAGAGGCCTGAGCTGTTCTCAACAGCCAGAAACTGCTGGTAAGACTGGAATCTAGGTTATGTTTTTAATTGGCACTAGCATTCAACCCAGCATCCTCTCCTCTCTTCTGGAGCTCACATCACTGTTCCTTCTCACCCTCTCAGGTGGCCGTTTCATCACGTCGTCTGTGAACTTCACTCTCGACAAATAACGATGACATGAAACGTGTGAAGAAATGCTCGGCATGATGTCATCATCCTGTGAAGTCAGCTTACATAACCTGTCTGCGTAGAAACAGTCACCTGGCAACTGTCTCCGAGTCCTTTCTCCCCTGACGGAGGAACATTAGTCTGATCTAATAATGGCGGCTTTAAATAGAGAAGAGGAAGGGTTATTTTCTTTAGTGCATTTCTATTTGAGTTATAGTCCAAGTCTAACAGATAAAATGAATGTTGTTTCCAATTAAATGATGTTTGATGTTTGGTTCTGTGTTCTGGACATTTCTTGTGCATGAATTTAAGACGAGATCTGAAGATGTAGTCACAGTTTCAGTGTTATAATTCAGTCACACTTTAGATTAGGGCCCAATTCTCACTATTAACTATGACTTTTCCCCAAGTAACTCCTAATTACTGCATATTAATAGTATGTAAGGTGGTTGTTAAGTTTATTAAGGTATTGAGAAGGATTAAGGGATGTAGAATATGGTCATGTGGAATAAGGCATTAATATGTGCTTTATTACAATAAACAGTCAATATCCTAGTAATATGCATGCTAATAAGCAACTAGTTAATAGTGAGAATTGAACACTAAATTAAAGTGTTACCTGTTATTCTATATATCTGTTTAATCAGTTTAATTGTTGACCTATTTATTTTCTTAATGCATGCTTCTGGTCTAAACACGCACGCACGCACACACACACACACACACACACACACATAGGCCTATACATTGCCCGGCCCTGAAAAAAGTCGCTGTTTGGATTAAAATAGGCAAATACTCGATGATTGTATAATTATTGCTGTGATTATTATGTGTCTATGGAAATAATATGATAGTAAAGACAACTGCAACTTCAGTTTTATGCTGACTTTAAAACGACATGCAGTCTGAATCGTCTTCACCCACCGACCGTTTATACCGGTACGTAAAAGTCATTTTCTTTGTTGTGCTTGTGTGATTTTTTTTAAGCCAATGCATTAAATGTTAAATGCGAAATCATTTCTAATTCACTTCCAGTTTAAAAGCAATGCAAAGTTCTAAACAAACTGTTGGTGTTCACACACACTTTATTAGCACGTACAGTGATTTTTGTTGTTTGACAAAACTTGCAGTGCAGAGATATGTATTTTTGTACATGATTTTATGACCGCACGAATATCGAAAAGCGTTTATATACTCAGAGCCACGATTTCCTTCACAAATTCATTTAGTCAGATTATAAACACAGAGGGCATGAAAATTAGGACAGTGATTAGTTATTATCAGACAGAGTGTTTCAAAGCCAAGTCAAGGAGGACAGAAAACATTTCATCAAGCTCGGATAGGATGCAAATGACATTAAGAAGACACACCACTATAACAGCCAATCAGAGAAAGAGAGGACAGGAAACTCACTGTTAGACATTTAGATGAGCCTAAACTCACATAGTGCTGCTTATTGCTGTATAAAGCAGCTGAACTGACGTGTTGTGCTGTTTAAACCTGTACCAGATATCTTCTGCAATAAATATAATATTTCAGAGATTTTTGTTTCTCAATCATTTGTTTCAAACAGAAATGTCATTTATAAGAGAACATACAATAGATGTAGTAGTACCAACTGATGTGTTACTGTACTGTTACTGTAAATATCAATTAAATTAATTTGTGAAATCAAATAAAAAAGTGAAATTGACTGATTCTGGATTAAGCAGTTTCATAGGTTGATGTTCGGATTTTGTTCTGTGTATATTCATTGCTATTTGGATGTAAATGTCTTTGTCACTTCTGTTCAAAAGTTTGGAGTTATTTGATTAAAAAAAACATTGTTATTGTTAAATATTATTACAATTTAAAATAATATTTTTTTGGTTTTAATATGTTGTATTTTACACATGATGAACATCATATATTTTTGATATATTAATGTGGAAAATGGTATATTTAATGTGATTCTTAAGAAATCTTTCTAAGCTGATGTGTTGCTCAAGAAACATTTCTTATTATCAATGTTGAAAACAGTTATTCAGTGAACAACTGAAAACGGTGTCAACGATGAATAGAAAATTCATAAGAACATAATTTATTTGAAATAGAAATATTTTGTAACATTGCTGCCACTTTTGATCAGTTTAATGCATCCCTGCTGAATACAAGTATTAACTTATTGACCTAAAAAATAAATAAACCCCAAACTTTGAATGTGGTAGTGTATGTAAATTTGATTTCACAATGTTTAAGTTGTGAATTATCAATGGGTAGCTGTTTTATAGGCGAATTTATGTTCATTATTACAGGAAATATTCAATACAGCAACCTAGAAATGACTTTATTTTCCATATAGAGCCGTATTAACAGCAGAAAGTACAATGTGAGCTCTGTTGCTTCGCTTTTAATTAGAAAATGGGGCACAGAGGTTCTCCACACCCACAGACAGCTGTAGTAAAGCTCTTATACACAAGGATATATGGAGCATGATAGGAGCAGAACCAGCAAACGCTCCTTTAATCTGTGGAGAAGCTCAGGGAGATGTAAATGGCCCTCAGTAGAAACTCACACGAGAAACGTCACCTAAACGCACTCTTGCAAGACCCAGGTCAAGCTGTGGTTAGTGAGAGACCAGCAGCTTTATCGGGTTACCAACAGGTATTAAAACGCCTGTACAATGTGGCAAGAAAGAAGGAAAACAAAAAGCATATTCCATAAGCTGTTATGTGTGTGGAATTTATTATAGTATAACATCGAAACAGAGTAACATCATATCAGAGTACCTTGGCAAGCAGGCCTGATTCGATTAGATGTAGGCAGATGACAATGAATGCTGGCGTATCTGTAAGCTCGCTCTGTCTGTCGAGATTTCCTTCTATTCCCCCTCCCCACATTTCCCTTGTTTTCCTCTGACTCTCATGCACTCTTCAGGCTGGCAGGTACTGGAGGATGTGCTGTGCGATCATGGCGGGGTCGAAGGTCAGGGCCCTGCGCTTGCGGCTGGTTTTTTTGGGGGGCGGCAGGTCAGTGTCTATGCGCTTCATTCTCTGCAGGCCGACATGTGGCGTTCTGTCGTCATCATCGTCGTCGTCGTCATCGAGTCTTTTCACCCTCAGCAGTGACGCCTCCACCTGTGGGACGGGGGCCGAGTCTAGGGAGCGGCGGGAGCGTTTTAGGACGGGTCCTCCGGATCGCTCCACGCTGGCCACGGCGCTCAGGTCCCGTTTGGCACGCTGGTTTGAAGGGCCACCCTGACTGCCACCTGATGCCAAGCCCGAGAGGATCTTCTCAACAAGATACCTTAACAATGCAAAGACAGATATACTGTTGTTTGTTTGCTTAAAGTTAACATGAAATCAAAATATCAGCTTTCATTTTAATTTTAGTTTAATATTTGTTACATTTATGCATTTGCATTTGGCGAGCGCTTTTATCCAAAGCGACTAACATTGCATTTCAAGGCACACATTTACATTCTTATCAGTTCTTGCTTTTCCTGGGAATCGAACCCATGACCTTGGCGTTGCAAGCGCCAGCGCTCTACTGTTTGATTTAAAATATTATTTAGTTTTACTTTTAGTTGAGGTTTTCATCTAATATTTATATTTGTAATAATATTTTGAATTAGCTTTTTTGGTAACACTTTACAATAAGGTTTATTAGTTAACATTAGTTAATGTATTAACTAACATGAACATGAGCACTCTATTTGTTACTGTGTTTGTTAATCTTTGTTAGCCTTAGTTAATAAAAATACAGCTGTTCATTGTTTGTTCATGGCTGTTTACAGTGCATTAACTATTGTTAACAAGATTTTAGTATATGTTGAAATTAACATTAACAAAGAATAATAAATGCTGTATACGTGCAGTTCATTATTAGTTCATGTTAACTAATGTAGTTAACTAATGTTAACTAACGAACCTTATTGTAAAGTTACCGCTTTTTTAAACTATATTTTCAAGATTCATTTGATTATTATTATTATTATTATTTAAACATGACTGTTTTATGTTTAATCTATTTTTGATGTATTTTAAATAACGAATTAATTCATATATTTATTTTTAATTTTATTTCCAGCTAGTAACAATACATTTGTTTCAACTTTATTTTAAAGCAACACCAAGTAACTTACCAAGTAACTTACAGGTTGGAAGCGGAACTGTCCATTACTGCAGTCGTAAATAATTTAGCCTATCGCATGTCGCACGCACACGCACGCACATGCTCTCTGTCTATCCAGCACCGGCTTTTGGAATCATGATGACAATTCAAAAGATACCCGGCTGCTAGGTATCTTGCATGTAGTTGTAGTCTACTGTCGAGTACACTCAACCTATCGGCAATTGTAACGCTTGCCGTAAAGCAAGTCAAATTTGTAGTTTTCTTATGTCTCATTTGGACTACAGAAACACGACCCGATCTGGCAAACTTACATAGCGTGGATAATATATATATCAGATAAAGGACCGGAAAGTGGTGGCATAAGTGCATTTCACCATATCACGACTTGATGAACCACTGAAACGATTTTGAAAACATTATTTTAAGGTAAAAAATCGTACTTAGTGTCGCTTTAATGAACAAAAATGTTTGTAATAACCCTGACTCTGAGGCCTGGCTACTGGTTTCCGTTACCTAAGCATCTCTTGGTCTTTGTCCTGCTCTCTCTCTGGAATCCGGTTGGTTGTCGGAGCGAGTCCAGCCTGCATCAGTCTCTCCTGCTTGTAGCGGTTGAGTAGAGCCTGAGTAAGCTGAGGATCCAGAAGGCCCTGGGGCTTGGCCATGCTCACGGCCTGCTCGGTCTCATCGTAGTCCGGAGGGTACGGTGCCTGGAAATCCCCCTCATCCTCCTCATCTTCCTCTGGCTTGCCCTGTCCGTTGTTCTGTGCTTGGTTAAGGAGACGCAGCATTGATGCCAGATAAGCTGCTTCTTGTTCCCGCCTCTGATCGTTCTCCACCAGGCGCTGGAGGGCCTGTCCCAGACCTTGAGCTCTCAGGACCTCCGGCTGGTAGTACAGATCATTGCTCCGGCTCTTGAAGTCAGCAGCTGGATAAGCCATCATCTGGGCCTCGTAGGGGACTGAATCCCGCAGGTCTCTTCGGAGACGCACTCCTCCTGCCTGGCTGTCAAAGCTGCGACCTCCGCCACGCATGGCAGAGAGAGGCTGAGAAACAGAGGGAGGAAGACAAACCCAACAGCTGATTGGTGAAAGATGTCTTCTGTTTCCATGTTAAAGCAATATAAACAACTTTGTGCACATTTTAGTACAGAGAACTTTTATTTACATGCATTGCACTCTTAAATAGCCTACCATTTGTAAAGCTACAGTATATTAGCCCCCCCAAAACACACACACACACACACACATACACAGGCCCTAAATATATATATGTATATACTATATGTGTATATTAATAAACACACACACACACACGTATATTATTTTTCATTATTTTTTAATACATTTTTAAATATTTTTAAATCTGCCTAACCAATCTTTATCATGTTTCCCATATTTTAAACCCTATAACGAACAACAATATGTTTTGTTTTTTTAAATACAAAGCATAAAATTACACTACGTTTTTATTTAGTACGCGGTAAATCAGGGGCGTTTTTAATCACTGAAGGACCGATTGTTCGAATTCGAATTTTAGAGGAAGCTGACAGCAAAAAACAACAAAAAAACAAACAAAAAAACAACACCCCTCTTCTACTTACTAAACTGGCCAATCAGAATGAATATTCAAATGACGCAGAATCAAAGGCTGTCCATTCAAGCCAATCAGCTTTCAGTATCACCTTTAGTTTGAATCAGAGCCGTTGAAAAACTTTTATTAGGTTAGATGGACATTAATAACACCAGGTGAAGAAGAGAAACCTCGAAACAAGTGAGGCTGAACGAGAGAGCTATATGCATTTTCAGTGATATGATGGAGTGGAGGATGGAGTTAGTCTGTACATTGGTAAGTAGATGGCAGATGGAATGGGGCTCTCCATTCATAAATGTTTATGTTTAATGGTCTAACGTTACTCTGGAGATGGCGCCGCAAGATTAACGTTAGTTCCCTTGACAGGTGACAGTCTTTGGTGGGCGGGGGATTGGTTTGGCTAGCGGTTAATTTGTGAAATTACATGAATTAAGAATGGATAAAGATGCTATTATAGATTTCAGTCATTTTGGCAGTTTCAGCTAAACTTTTTATTTTTTATTTTTTATTATTTTTTTTAGGGCTTGACATTATGGTGGATTTCAGCAGGGACGTGTAACGTTAATGCGCTAACAGTTAGCTCCTTTGGCGGGTCGAATTTGATCGATTTTTGAATTGTAGTCTTTTAAAAAGGCATCTGAAATAATAAACTAAGTGCAATGTAGTGTTGTAAAAAAAATATATTGATTTTTCGATACTTATCTATACTGAAATACTATCTGAAAAGCTTTCCAATATTTATTTTACGCTCTCTCATCTAACATATCTAACACAAGGCTAACATATTCATCCTAAGAGCTAAAACACTTAGATTTTAATTTATGGGGGGCTTTAAAGTGACAACAGCCTAATATACCTGCTGCCAAATTATGAGACATTATTAAAAATATCTATATGGCAGTTTTTCCCCATGGTATCGATGTCAAAATTGTGGCCAGTGAAAATGTTGAGTGGCTAGTAATTTTGTAAAACCACTAGTCACAGTGGCTGGTGAGCAAAAAGGTTAATTTCAAGCTCTGATTGTTAGTAAAACAACAACAACAACAAAGTTCTTACTATAATGACTGAAATCGCTTACATCATCTATAGCAATAATGATGGAATGGGGCTCAGCATTCATATAGTATACATTTTTGGTCTATGACAGTAAATTTGTGAAGCATATTTGTCTGGGTATGAAATTGAATTCATAAAAAATGGTCATAGATGCTCTACTCTAAGCGATTTCATTTGCATTTTTTTATTTCATTATTTGTAACTTTTATTTTATTATTTGAAATTTAGTGGAAATAACCCAATGGACTAAATCATCTATAACAAATTTTAATTAATGCAATTTAATTTTTTTATTGTTAATAATCTAATGCAATTTAATAATGTAATTGAATCTTATTTAGCAATTAATATATTCAGAGGACAAACTGTATGATGAATGGCAGTAAGGGTAGAATATGTTAAATTTGTACGTTCTGAAGTACATCTGCCTTTGAGAGCACAGAAACACACACCTCCCACTTCAATGTAACACTTTACATACTAATCGTTCATGCATTCGTCACAGTTCACCACATTTCATTCAGAGGAAGCATTAGTAAGCACATTTTCCTCTCCTCTCATCTGTTCTCATCCTCACACCTCCTCTCCATCCACAGTGAATCAGGCATTCAATTACACTTGGACACTATTGAGAAGAAAAGAAAGATGCTTTTCATGAAGCTGAAATCACTGTAGTGTGCATAGCAAGCACATTCTGACAGTATGAGTAACCAGCTCCTCTTCAGCGTATATTAGTTCTGTCACTGGCTCTGATGTTCTATGTCCACCATTACTGACAGGAGACCTGCGTTTCAGCAGTGATTGATTGTCTAGAGACTGCCTTAAATCTGTTTCTCTGTTCATGTTAGCCACTGAACAGCTCAGCTCAAGCCTGAGGCCTGAGGTTATGAACGAAGTCTGCTGAGTCATGACATTGCCTTCACCTTCTGTGTGCAGCATCATTATTTGAAATCGCAAAGCGAGTGCTGAGAGACAACTAGCAGCGGTGTTCAAAAACTGCCCTCTGTGCAAGATTTGTGTTATTGTAAATCATATTCTGCATCAGTTGCATCAGAATGATAATGAAACCGTTTCTGTGTTGAGTCGGTTCTTCAGTTTGAGCTTTGTGTGGTATTTCAGGGCTGTTATGATTCATAATAAATGAGGCAGATAGTGACGTATGAAACTAAAGGAACAGGATTCCTCTGGGCGCTGATGTGTGAGTGTATTTGATGACTCACTCTGGCGCATTATGACGTCTATCCCGCCCCTGACCTGTATGTGTGTGTTGTGTGTGTGTGTGTGTGGGGGTGGTAGGAAGATCTTGTTATCTTGTTGTCCATGAGTTCAAGTGGTGTTGATGTCCTCCAGTTCCTTGCCATCTGCTCTACTCCGCATTACTGGACCAGTGGAGAGATTTCTAACATGAACAACTTTCTGCAAAGTTACAAACACCCTCTGCTAGTTCAACTCCTGCAGACTCCAGCCAAAGTGCGTCACATCTGTTTGCAGTTGTGTGTCATTATAAAACGTACTAGAGATTATTAATATTAATAGTGTAACATAAACTGTTTACATTAAAACATTTTACAGTACAGTTTAAGTGTAAGCCAATCAGTGTTGTTACTGTTAACTAAAACTATTAAAAATCGTTTTCAGTAATTTAAATAAAATAACATAAATATTAGAATTGGAAATGTAGAAATGTAAAAATACTAATATTATTAACACTAGTGCTGTCAAATCGATTAATCGCATCTAACATAAGTTTGTAAATGTATGTGTTTCCTGTTTGTATATATATATATTTAAAAAAAAATATATATATACATATATATATACACATATATATTTACAAACTTTTATGTTAGGTGTGATTAATCGATTTGACAGCACTAATTATTACTAATAATAATTACTATAACTAAAGCTGGAATAAAAATAAAATAAAGCTATTAAAAAACAAACTAATAAAAAAATTAAAAAGCACATAGAAATGTTGCCTTGGGAACTAATGAAATAAATAATAATATTAATACTGAAGATAATTACTAAAACTAAAGCTGAAATAAAAATAAAATAAAGCTAAATAGAAATATAAAACAAACAAACTAATAAAAATAACAAAAGAACATTATAAAATTGCTATAACTTAAACTAAAATTAAAATACAAATTGCAAACTGAAAATATAAAAATGTTAATTAAAATATTAATACATACTATTTATATATATGTAATGTATATATTTTTTTAAATGTATTTTATTTATTTATAAGCTGTACTATATACTATAGCATATACTATATGTACTATAGTACAGCTTATAAATAAAAAATATTAAGTTTCAATCATATTAATCTCTTTTTCTTTTAAAAAATCAGTTAATTGAATTTGAATTAAATTATGCCACATGAAGCACAAGCATTTTTACAGTATAGATGGATAGTATGAATAGATGGATGGATGTGAGAAAACTGAGTGTTCTCTCTGAAAGCTGTTGCCATGGCAGCGTTCCTCCTCCGCTCCGAGTGAAAGACTGGCTGTTTGTTCTGCTAATGAGATTGTGCATCCTCTACTATTGATTTTGTCCTGTGTTGCCCTTCAGATACGGCCCATAATCCTTCACACATTTCCAAAATCACTGTGGTTTTTCTATTCAGCTCAGTATCAGTGACGACCACTGTCCGTGGTGCTGAAAACCTGAGCGCACACGCTAATGACTGCAACAGATGGTCAAAACAAACTCTACTAGTTACTTTAATTCACAACAGCTGCCCACATATCTCTCCAGTGCATGCTGCAATACATTATCTAGGAATCTAGAGACCAGTATGCCTATTGTTGCAAATAAGACTTTGTAACACTTGTTATTGAATTAAATATAATATTCTATGTTTAAAATCTCTGAATAGACCTACATTTAGTTAATGACAAAATATAGTACAGTCCTGGATTAATCAGTAATAGAGCTGCAGAATAAACAAATGCTGTCTCTCATCATAAAATAACATGGAGCTCTGTAATTGAACGATGCATGTAATATTTAATGTGATCTTGGGTTGTTTGCAAGAGCCTCCATTTCTGGACACTGCCTTTCAGAGATATTTCTAGAATTGAATGAGGATTCTATTCGCCAGTAAAGCCCTGTTGATATATGCTCTGTTGTTGCCAGGCAATGAGGATTGTACGCCCTATTTCACGCCATCTGGCTCGAGTGATCTCGATCAGTTCAGCAGAAAAATTAACACGCAGCTAAGCGTAACTAAAAAGCAACTAAATATTACACAGTGTACTCTCCCATATTCACAATAATCCATGTGCAATGATTCAAATACAAATATTCAAAATGAAATAGTAATGAAAAACAGAATGAAATCAGCATTTACCAGCCAATTCAAACCTTTATTCTAACTGCATAGAGGCAAAAAGGAAGAAAACACGCAGGTTAAAATAGCTATAGAGGAATCGGTCTCACCAAACACACATGATGAGGGTCTGGTGTGGTGTTTGCTTTACCTTTGCCTCTGGTGTGAGGATCTGGAACAGCGTCAGAGAGAGGAAAAGCAGAACAGAGTTGGTCAGAAGGCCCGACATCCTGAAGGAGAGAATGTAGCTGCCTCTGCAGTGAAGAGATACGCTGCCACTGAACACCAGCAGAGATAGACAGAGAGAAACAGAGGGAGGGAGGGGGAGGAGCTTCACTGTTACTCGAGAGAGAGAGAGAGAGAGAGAGAGAGAGAGAGAGAGAGAGAGAGAGAGAGAGAGAGAGAGAGAGAGAGAGAGAGAGAGAGAGAGAGAGAGAGAGAGAGAGAGAGAGAGAGAGCTTGTGATTTTGCATGGTAAAGATGGTGAAAATTTACAACTGCAATCTGAAAAATCAGATCAATGGGTAAATAATGTCTGGCTGTACAAAATAATGACAAATTTCGGTATTTGGCAGTACCTTTTTTATTGTGCAGTATAATCAAAAATGCAAGTGACATGACGTTTTCATAATTGTGTAGTAGTAGTAAATATTATTATAAGACATAGTAAAAAGCATGTAAAATGTAAATATGTTAAGACACACATAAGAACATAAATTATATATATATATGTAAAATGCATAGTATGCAAAACGTATTTATTCATTTTGCACACACTTCTAAATTACTTACAAATGAGAAAAATTTATTGTAGAACAGTAGAAGAATAGAGATTGAATTCATGGTTATGAATTCAGTAAAAGTAACCTTCAATTTTAAAAATTGTGATTAAAATAAGATGTAGATAAAATTATTATGATGGTATTTTACTTTTACTTAGTATTACAGTTCAGCATGCAGAAAATGATTTGATGAATCTGAATCGATTAATTGATTGGTTGCCTCTTCTTTCCTCTTCTGGAACTCTGTCTTCTTATACATCCATATAGCATTATCTGTCCCAGTAATCACTGAACCTGTTGAAACAAATGCTAAACAATGTGGCAAAACACAAAGCTACAGTATGTGCAAATTAATATTAGACATGAAGATGAGTTGATTGGATGAAACACACATACTTTTAGCTTTGCTCCTGATGATCATTGCCACAGTCAAGATGACGAGACCAACAGCAATGCAGGAGAAAAAGCCGATGTAGAATAAAGATACTCCTTTCTCATGCTGATCTTCAGCAAAATCTGAAAAGCAAACACAAGCAACATGTACAGAAAAAAAATACAGTTACACTCACAGGTTTTGAGACATACAGAGCACATGAGATGTTTTACCAGATTTACTATCAGTAGCGGCTCCTGACCGTTAATTTAGGTAGGGCAGATTCTGGGTCTTAGCGCAAGTTTATGATAAACATTTTGGAAGTTTTATATTCTGATCGCTGAACAAAAAGCACTTTTGGTAGAGGTCTTACCTCCTTGTGTTATAAGTCATATTTATTCTCAGAACAAACATAAAAAAACACATACTATATAGGTCTAAAGGCTATTTACAGCATGTTTAAACTAATGAAATTATACTTTCATTAATTTGATTCGCCACTAGACATGCCAACTAGTCACTAACCTGATGCAGACTAAAATACACACAGCTGAAGCGGATTAATATATCATCTTGGTCTAGAGCGAGGTTAACGTAAGGTAAAAAAAAAAAGAAAAAAAGCGGGCAGTCTGAAATCTGCCCCAATGGCTCTCATTAAAAGTTGTATTTTCAGTTGAATTTGGGGAAACAACTTGAAACATTTGTTGTGTTAAGCTATTTCAATTGTTTTTGTTTGATTTGTTTATTCATGCAAACAGCTGAAAGTCTGTAAATTTTGCCTATAACCTGATTTGGAATTGGGGTTGAATTTATGATTACAATTGTAGGTCTCACTGTAATTTAGGAATGCTAATAAACAATAAGTAAATGAGGCATGTCTTTGCCACTTAAGGTGCTGGTAATGTTCATTTTAAATTGTAATAAATTAATAAATAAGCTGTTACTTTAATTACCAAAATAATACATTAATAAAACACTGTAAATCCACTTACTTAAAGCCTGTTCACACCAAGTACAATAACTATAATGATAACTATATTAGCAACCACACCAACAAATGATATTCACGGATCTTTTTATTCTATTCGCGCGTGTTGCGGTTTCAAAGTAGCGAAAATGGATGATAGGCATCTCGAATGTTGATCTACTTCTTCCTAGCACTATCCCCTATAAATAAATACACACACACACATATATTGAAAAAAAAAAAAAACAAAGATATCATTCCTCCTATCTTTATCGTTATAGTTGTGGTGTGAACTCTGCTATTCTTTAATATGGAGAAAGATTTTTAGAACTAGCCTAGGCTATATCTTAATCGTTATCTTTATAGTTATCATCCTTGGTGTGAACAAGCATTTATTGCTCTCTATGTATTACATATTTTCATATATCTAATAGAAGCTCAAACCCTCATGTCATGTTGGGGGTTTGAGTTTCTATAAGATGTATAAGATAAACATACAAAGTTGTATTTTTTACTTTTTACAATTTTGAAAAGCTGTATTTATAACCACTAAACCATTAGAAAAATGTAATTGCTTATCTAAACGTTAACTAATAAGAAAGAAATTATCCATACCTTCATTCATTCAAAACATAAATAAATCAGTAGTAACCGAAATCTAAAAGCATCAAACAACAAATCTGCTGACTTATTCTGTGTCTGGTAATATGTTGTGCTCATGTTGGTGGCTTGAGCTTCAGTAAAACAGAGAAACACAGTAATTTTTATTTACTTTTTACAATTAACGAAACATGAACATTAAATTAATTAATAAATTATATTACAGAACATGAAATAATGAGCCTGTACTTGTATACCACTGTATTACTGCCATTAAATTATTACAGGGAAACCACATAATACTTGACAGGACAAAAAATATATTTTTTAAGTGTTTAGATTACATTGACATTGAGGTGTCAAAATTCAACATGTCAGCAAAATAGAGCATTAGAATTAGAATACATTATTGTTACAGTATGTTTTACCAGATGGGCTGTAGGTGTAGGTCTCACTGCGACGGTTCACCGCAGAATTAATCTCGTGCACACAGGTGAAGGAAACAGGTGGACTCACTTTCACATGAAACACACACTTTTCATTTGAATAACGCAGTGGGTCCTTCAGTGTGTAGTTGTGTTTACCCTCCACTGACAGCTGGAAAGAGCTCTCAATGAACCACTTGCCAAATGAACACATCACTATCACATGCTCTCTGTCCTGCATCTGCCCATACACTGCGATGTTGGGCTGTGGGACATCTGAAATAAAACACACATCATGCTTATTTGAGTGCTTACGAGTGCTTATAGTCAAGATGAAACTAAAAATATTATATATATAGCTACATATTATCCTTTCATTCACTCCAGTTGAATAGTGTTGGTGTTAGGTTCTAAATTTCGGCGCTGGGTTGTGAGTATTGGGCATAATTTTACTCATCCCTACAGGTTTCGCGCTCACCCATTGTTCTATATAAATGGCGCACACATAAAGCCACCTCTCAAACTAGAGACCTGCACTCCCTCGGGAATACCGCAGGACCCAACGCAAAAGAGTGAGGCGCGGGACTAGATTTGATGGCCGAGTAGGGATGGGCGTATCGATATGAAGTATCGATACATCGATACTGATGACGACTATCGAAAGTATCGATACTCAAATAAAAATATTTTAAAATAATTGGATGAATAACCTATGTTAGTGAATAATTGTGTAGTATAACTATTTTCCTGCTCATCTGAAGTTCTGAACACACGCAAAAGCTGCAAGTCAGAACCAATCAATCACAGAGAGCATTCACACACTGCCGACAATGCCTTCAAACAGGGCTGCATTTCCCAAAAGTATCATAAGAAACCATTAATAGTTTTGGGAAACGCACAGAACAATGCTTAACAGAAGACAAAAAAACATCATATGTTTGAGTTATTTCACAATACAAAAATTGAAATTGTAACCTACATACATAGTTTGTGCAATTACATAGTTTTAAATTGAATGTTAAAAGTTCATACTGATGTTCTATTCTGTAACTAATTTTAATATAAATCATACACTGTCAGAATAAAAAGGTTGCATTTAATGGGTGTCATGGCTGTCACTGGCAGTCTGAACATTACAGTGAGTGACCATAGTCCAATTAGACCTATAATATTATGTAGATTTCCATGGTTACCACTACAAGTAAACATTTTAACCTTGTATAAACATAAATATCATTTAATAAGTTCCAATTAAGTTGTAATGTTAAAATGCCTTTTAAATATAATGTTAAGTGCGTATCATTACCCATTTTACTCTTAGTAGCCTAATTTTAAAAGAAGAAATTTTAAAATGTAAAAGTTCAGTTTAGGGGTACCGTATCGGTGATACTGGCCTTGAAAGTATCGGTATTGTATCGAAAACAAAATAAGTGGTATCGCCCATCCCTATGGCTGAGTGCGGGCGGTAAGGTGCTCGTGTGTGTGCGGGTTGCGGCGGGAGAATAAAACGATTCACAGGACTCCCGCAAAATAGAAATATCTATATAAAACATCTAAAATCGAATAAACTGTTATTCATCTGTTGCACAAAAGCAACAAGAACAACCAAAACGAAATGGAAACAATTTACAGGCCAGAGTTTCTATTTATAACAACGTTGAACAATGTAGCCAATCAAAGACATATGTGATGATTTCTTGAACGCAATGGCCAATCAGAATCCCCTGAGAATCCCCTGCCTCACCACTCAAAACTGACTTTTTATTCAATGCTGAATTCTGCATGCTGGCAAATCCTCTAATCATAACAAACAAAGATATTGTGAAAGATTCATTGTGCAGTCAGCTTCATTGATAATAACAGATTTGTGAGATCGCGATGAACTGAGATGTCAGCTTTTTAGGAATTATTAAGGGAGTGCACTTTGGGCGCATTCTGTCATGCCAAATTTGCTTTTATGTTAAATTAACAGTGGTTTGTGATTGTTAATGCTTTAATAACAAATAATTTATCTGGAGCATTTATGCTGATGTGTAGGTGGTGGCGACATGTAGGCTAACTTGAAAGTATTTCATGGAGGTACAGAAAAAAATCAATTTACTTTTATGCTGGCTTTTGCAGGACAAAACATGAATGTAGTGGGTGGGAGCATGAGAAGGTAACATATGTTTTTGTAGGAGCAGGACAGAATCCTATAGGATTATATCCTGTATCCTATATCATGTTTTTCTCTTTTTCATGTGTTATTTTGCTTAAACTGTCAAATACACTCAAAATGATGTCAAATTGCCCCTCTTGGCAAGTATTCAGGTGAAAACACAGTCATTTTTTGGAACGTAATAGTATGCTAAATTGCATGTTGTATAATGGTATATTGGATCTGTGCATATGTTCTTAAAATGACAGCAGCCTAATAAACCTGCTGCAATTTGTCATGTTAAAGTTTGTGTCTGCAATCAATAATAGAAGTGTTTTTCAAATTTTTCATTCAATTCGATCCGAATGCAATGGTAGTTGGTAGGATGTCCTACAGTACCTGCCTGTCAACCTATGTATTTCCATACCTCTGCGCACCTGCTCGCGCAGACATCACACGTCATCAGTGCGTTACAGAAGGCTATGCAGAGTTGTACACAGACAGTCACTGAGCGCCAAAAACAAATAACAGCCATCTTTTACAATTCATCCTGAACCAAAACAGCTTATGCTCCTTTCACGCCATGTCGTAACTGTAATTACAAGATGGCAACCCGTGACGTTCTACCTTGAGCTGTTCATGTCCTCGGACTCGGATTTATGCATTTCTATGGCAACACTATCAACGTCGAAATTAATCTGCTCTGCAGCAGTCAGGTGGTACAAGTAAGAGCTCTGTAAGTTGTTTACGTTCATTATTATTATAATGTTATGTGCTTTGAGACATGATTTAGTATAATGCCATCTCTCATCGTGTGATGCAGACTCATGCTTTCAAAACTAGGTTGCTATTGCTAGCCTCTCTGAAATCACCTACCCTACTTTTAATCAAAGAACAAAAGACAAAGAGAAAATCACTCACACTCACATTAATCTGTATTTACCTCGAACAGACACAACTGCCAAAGAACTGCGCATTTTTGGACTAACTACAGTGGCCGAGAGAGCTCAACGCGCTGCAACTGAAGAAAACACATGCAAATAGAAAAAAACACATGCAAATAGAAAAACCCCCGCATGCAAATAGAACAACACACATTAAGCAAATTAAGAAAACATCTTCATCAGTTTCACAACACATGTGAGCCCCAAATAATTCTGACCAATCGAAGTGCAGTTATGGAAATATGTTCAGGAGACATCTGGCCAATGAGTGAACCAAAACGCCTGAAAAATGCTACAAAGTATAATTTTTCGCCCTTGGTCCGGACCAAATGAACCGAACTACAGATGTGAAAGCACCCTTAAACGCCTCTTCCGCTCATCAGAAGTGAGCTGTTGCTACACTGGGCCAGACTTCCTGCCAGCCACCAGAACAAAATGTTTTCTCAGTGCTTTGAGTGTTTAAAAAAAAAAAAAAATTTAACTTTTTTTTTTTTTTTTAGTTTGTTTCATTTAGATTCGAATGTGGTAGTAATGAAGGAGAGCCTGCCCTTTTATTATATAACTAATAACTAATATTGCATATTCTATGTTTTTGACATAGTAAGTGTAGTCAAGTAAGCTTTGCTAATGCCAGTGCAGTAACAAGTTTGTTTCCAAAAAATTATAGTAACAGTATTACACATGATATTTTTAAGTAAATAGCACATCATATGTTTCACAGTGTAGTCATTAAAATGGCAATGTTTCTTTAGTGAATGTAGTTGTGTTGTCTTACTTTTTGTGGGGCAGAAGCCCCACTTTCCACCGATGTTGTAATCTTTTTCTGTGGAACACCACAGATGACCATCACTCCTGCCATCCACAGTGCACTCAGCGTACCACTTGACATGAAACTTAAAAGGGAAATGGCATGGTTTCCCAAATGAATTACCACCTATACTAGACATCTCTGCAGAACATAAATAAATTAAATTAAGGGTTTAAGTTTAATTTAGAATGGTTTAAGAATTTGATCTAAACAACTTAAATGACAACAAGGACACTTAAGTCTGTCACCTAGTTTAACAAATGCTAACATCACACAGGGAAATTCATTATGTATATGAATAGACATTAAAAATGAATGTTACATTTTATCAATATAAAGGGCTTAATGGTTGTCCAAATATTTGTCCAAATAATATTACGTGGACTTTTGGTCGTACCTTGATATCCATAAGAACACAAATTTTCTTCGGTTCCATAAATCTGCCAGTGACTCCAAACACCTGTTCCCGTAAACAACATCATATTTTTGTTATTTTCATTTCCATGGTTCAGGTGCAGTGGATGTCCCTTCAATCCAAACAAGGTCTCATTTTTACATTCCCAGGTTTGTCCGGGGTTAGATTCATTGCAGGGCAGAAGGATAATTTTGGCCCAGTTTTCGATCTTCTCTGCCCCCAAACAGAGACTAAAAGAGAGGCTGATGATTCGTGAAGAGGAAATCCATTTGAAATACTGTGCCTTAGACGATTCATCACACGGTGCAGCCTTTACATTACCACCCACGACTGTCAAACATTTGTTGTGGTCCTCGTTGTAGATAAGGAAGGAGCTGGTGTCTGAATGTATGGAAAAATATATCAGACACTGTAAAAGGCAACACATTACATAGGCTACTGTGTAACTTAATAAACGAAAAAAATAGACGCTGTGTCACACAACACAATGGGAACAACAGGCAGAGACTGATCGTTCATTAAAGTAAGAAATTCTGGTGAGATTTTTTTTATTTTGTGTTATTGTTATATTTTATATTTCATTTTCTTATCATTAATTGTTTAGTGTATATATAATATAAAAACAAGCATGCCAAAAAGTACTTTAAATTAAAAATTGATAGCCCCAAGTGCCTATAAGGGTGGTGCGATCATGCGATGCAGCCTTTCATGAACTTGGCTTTTGCACCATCAGCCAATGAATAAGGGTTAAGCACACCTTTACTTCTGTATTCTGCAAAACAGATTGCATTGCTTCTGTTTCAGGTCTTTTGTATGTGCTTCATTTAATTTAATTATAGAGCCGTTTTACTCAAGATACCTTCAAAAGAGCTACCAAAAATGAGCATAACCGATGTCCCTTGCATATGCAGATTGATATATCAAAGTTTTTTATTAGTTTATTTATTCATCAACAATTTGACAAATTCTGTGAAATTCCACATTATACAGTAAATTTCGTTTTTATTACTGGATTTTATCTGCATTTTCTGCATCACGGAAATCATAGTGCCCTAGATAAAACGAAATAAAGACATTTAACAACTAATAATTAATGACGCACTTACTGTATCATCACGACTGCTATCTTACTAGAGATGGAGAAAAATTCTACTCCAGTGTAACCGTGTTCCTGTCCCCAAAAACATTAGTAGGCCTACTCAAAAGCACTTCCCTCCACGTTTTCTGCTGTGCGTGCATCGTTTATATTTACCACGCATGCTCACCTGCGCACCAGTTATGTGCACCCCTGAGTATATCGCTAGTCACATATTTCAATTTTCGTTTTACCCCTTAGTGAAAAATGAAAAAGAACTTGTGTATATCATGGGCTTAATATGATGTGTTTCATGTTTTTCTTTTTCTTTAATGTGTTATTTAGGTGTTTGTGCATGCAGGGTCCGAAATTAACTTTTTGGCTCACCTGCCACTGGGACTAGTAGATGAAAAAATCCACCAGCCAAGCATATTTTTTACCGGCCAAAATAATAAACAGCCTTTTTGTGTCACATATACTGTCATGAATGCCTGTCATGTATGCCAGCTGGAGTGCCCGCGTGAGCCTCTGGAGGGCACTCTCTTCCTGTGCTATGTTTCACCATGGGCTCATTATGTTTTATTATGTTCAGCTGTGTTTGATTATCTTGTTTAGCGCACCTGTCTTAAACCTGAGTTATCCCTGTGTCCTTTGCGAAGTCGTGTTACAGTGTAAGCGTACATCTCTGAGCATTATTCCCTGTTCTAGTGTTCCGTGTTTCCCTGGACTCTTGACCCTTGCCTGTCTTCTGGACTGTTTATGAACCTGTGCTGCCTGCTTCGACCTAAGCCTGTTTTTCACCACGAGTTTCTGGATGGATTGCCCCTTGTTTAACTGTTTCTGATTGTGTTTAAGTTGTAATAAAGTGCTGCACATGGATCCGACCGTCTCTGTCCGTGCGTCACATATACATTCATTTATATATATATATTTAAAAAAAATTGTCATTATATTTCTCGTCTATTATTTTCCATTTTTATTTTTTATTTACACATATTACACAATTTACACACATTACACAATTTACACACATTAAAATAATATTTTTGTGGTGGTGCCTATGAAAATAGTTCTGTACAAATGAAATGTATTAATTGTATATTTAATAAAATATATGGAATAATAATATATTATAATTATTTAAAAAAATTATTTAGTTTTACTCTGCCCATTGTTTATTCCATTTACTCTGACTGATCCTATCAGTAACTGAAGGACTGCTATATTTACTTGACCTGTGGAGGGCGCTCTGTTCAGAAGTTGACCACATCTTGAGCTCTGAACAATCTGCCCTGCTGTTTGTGCATTTGATTGTTTGCGTGTGAGCAAGAGTAACAAAAAAAGAAACCAAGAGAAAAGACAAACTTTCTATGTAATTCGTCTCCCGTTTTGTCTGTGGGTTTTCGTTTCAAAAGTTGGCTCACTCATGGGCGTCAGTTTGGTTTGAAATGTGCTGGGGACAGAGATGCATTCGGAAGTGCATTTTCAGAAGTGCTGGGTACAATGACGCAACATTTTTGTTGAAAAATGAGCGTTTTGGCAGCGCAGCGTTTTTTCTGTCGAGACGTTTCGTTGCTATGATACAGAATATCCAGACTGATCTCATGAAATGGCGTATGTATGACACGCCAATTCGTATTTCCATTTTTGGCGTGCTATCAACACGCATAATCGCTTTTCAGCGTGTTTATCAACGCCTTTGACTTAACGTTATATTACTGTATTATGTATATATAAATATATGACCTACCCCAACCCCGTCCCTAAACCTACCCGTCACTGGGGTTAATACCATTTATGAGTTTTCTCCTACCATCCTAGGAAAAGAAATATCGCTCCACAGATGTAGATATAGATTTTGCTTCGTTTCGCTCGGACATTTAACGGCGTACACATACACGCGGAATCACTCGGACATTTAACGGCGTACACATACACGCAAAAGATTTCGGCGTGGACATACACGCGGATATCTCAAAATGCGTATAGATAACACGCCACTTGAATTGAAAGTGGCGTGTATGTTTACGCAAAGTCATGATGTCATGTTGGAATATCCGCAGCACAGTTTACTTGTAACTGATTTCGCAGATAATTTGTTTCATACTTAAAATGTATTTTTCATCCATTTTGTTCGGTTATCTCTGCTGGTTGATGTCGTTGTACAGAAAGAATGTTGTGACAGTTGGTCGGTGTGGTGTTAGTCCCGCCCCTCCTCCACTGTGATTGGACGGCTGGGTAAAAAGTGACAGTGAGGAGCGCTGCGTTTTACCCAAAGTTGAACATTCTTCAACTCTCGGCGACCTGTAAAACGCCGTGCTCTCAGCGCTTCAGCGTGAAAAAAAACGTTCAGCGCCTCGTTATGCTCATGGCGTTCTAAAAACGCGGCGCTCCCATTGAAAACATACGCCAGGCGCGTGGAAAAACGCTTTGGTGGACACACGGCCTAAGTGTCATGAAAACTTTCATTGATGGTTCAACCAAGGTAACGAGACACTGCGTCCTAAGACGCTAATGGGGAAGGCTAGCATGTCTGGTGTCTAAAGCATGTGTCAAAACATGACAATAACATTGCCTGCGACAGCCTATGATGTCACTACTGGTGCGAGTAAAGTATACATAGGGCGTCTGTAGTACAAGTTATCCATTTCTTGTCTGAAGGAGACGTGGGCAGGCATACCCTATTAGCATCCGCATTAGGATGCTAATGGGGAACAAATGCCCACTCTGCCATTCCGTATGGCTGACATTAGTCAGTGGCTTCAACAGGACTGATCCGGAGTCACAGTTCCCTGTCCTAGCAGTACTCACCAGCGGTCATCGTGACTCCATTCCCTAAGGCCAGAAAACCTGGCTACATATAGCTTAGCTCAATTGCCAAGGATATAAATACACACCCCTGACGAGTGGAGGTCTCACAAGGGGAAACCTTGCAACACTCAGGGGAGCTCAAAGAGTGGAGGCCTCAGCAAGACGACTCTCTAAAGCGAGAGAAGGCCTAACTGCATTCTACGCTAAGGACTGCTTACCAAGGAGGCTCAAAGGAGCCTGACAACTCGATACTGCTATCCAGGTGGAGCTCTGGGGGGGAGGCCTCAGCAGGATGACTCTCTAAAACGAGAGGAGACCTAGCAATGCCACCTTGAAGACAGTTAACCAGGGAGGCTCAGAAAAGAGCATACAACCCAGTCCACTGTCTCCACAGAGCTCTCAGAGCAGAGGCTTTAGCATAACGACCCTCTATAGCCAGAGGAAGGCTAGCTACGCTCTACGCTAAAAAGACTAAAAGACCACCTCACCAAGGAGGCTCAGAGAGAGCCACACAACTTGGACCGGTTATCTAATGCAGAGCTCTGGGGAGTGAAGGTCTCAGCATGACGACTCTCTAAATCGAGAGGATACCTAACAACTCCTCCCTAAGGGTGGTTCCAGGGTTCCCAGGTAATGCTGTGAACAACCCAGCATAAGCAACCCAATTGAGCTCTAAGAATGGAGGCTTCTTCAAGCTCAGCAAGACGACTCTCTGAAGCGAGAGGAGACCTAGCTACAATCTACACCAAGAACTGCTTACCAAGGAGACTCACAAAAGGGGAGTGAGGGCCGCAGGATTACTCTCTAGAACGAGAGGAGGCCTAACAATACTCCATCTTAAAGACAGTTCCACCAAGGAGGCTCACAGAGAGCCATACTACTCGATGTTATTGCCTATAGCGGAATGATCCTGAAGTCAGAACAAGCCCATTACAGGGAGCGGAGGACTTTGCCCCAAAACAGGAAGGTTCTACTCAATACTCATCCTAAATGACCAAATGGAGCTGCCAGCTAACCATTGCAAAACCTATAATATGATTTGGTCTCTAGGCTCCAGCACTCTCAGTGGTCCTTTCGCTAATAGACTGCCTAATAGATTTATTATTTATGCCACGCAGTGATTGTGATTGAACAGTGCTCTGGCCCATCCCTTCCAAGCTTCCACCTTCTAACCGCGCCCGGGTACAATACGGAGCGATCACACTAGTCAAATGAATCAGACTTTGGGGGTCAAACGTGCTTGGGCGCAGTTCAGATCGCCTAGTGTGAGTACACTAGCCTGGATGCCAGCCCGAACCCCGCCCACAACATTTTTTGGTCGGGAAGTTCGGTCTGGACTCGCTCCATTGAGGAGTAATTATGATCAGTCAAAAAATGTTCGGGCCAATCAAATTGCCAGGGCGGGCTTTATACGATGATGGACAGATGATCTGCAGGGACTAGGGGTGGAACGGTACATGTATTCGTATCGAACCGAAACGGTACGGGCGACACGGTTCGGTGCAAGAATTTGCACGGAGAATACACGGTACAAAAAAAACCCTCTTAAATAGCGATACATTTCGCTTTATTCGCTTTTGGTGTGACTGTGAACGCAGCAATGAACAGGCTGCGATCAAGATTGCAATGCTGGAGTGTGTGTGTGTGTGTGTGTGTGTGTGTGTGTGTGTGTGCGAGAGAGAGAGAGAGAGAGAGAGAGAGAGAGAGAGAGAGAGAGAGAGAGGCGCGCGATTAACAGTATGTGTGTGTGTGCGCGCGCGCGTGTGCGAGAGAGAGAGAGAGAGAGAGAGAGAGGCGCGGGCGCGAATCGCGCGATCGAACAGTGTGCGTGTGTGTGTGTGTGTGTGTGCGCGCGCGCGTGCGAGAGAGAGAATGATCTCTCCTGCGCGATCGAACAGTGGAAACATAAAAACATACTCCGTCATTTTTTTTATACAGGACATCATTAAAACTGCAAATTGTTACTTATATTTGTGTACACTCGCAATAAAACACTACATTGTGCTTTTGTCAGACTCTAAACTCTTGTCGAACTGTAACCTACTACAACTGTTAACAAAAGTTTTGAATGGTAGTATTATTTTATACGGAAATCAACTATTTATAATTCAGATGAGAATAAAGTTAGGGTTAACTAAAATGAAGGAAAACAAATATATTGATCTGAAATAGCAAATTAATTTTAAATTCATTCAGGTACAATTACCAAACTGGGTCTGGGTACTCAAGGTCTTTTCATCGTTTTAATAATTTAATTAATAAACTAATTATTAGGGATGCACCGAATCCAGGATTCGGATTCGGATTCGGCCGAATATTGGGCTTTTTAACGGGGTTCGGTTTCTGCCGAACCTCAGAATTTTTTTCCACCGAACCGAACCCTAGGCTTGCACTACGCGCGCTACGTCGAAGTCACCGATCAGTGAATGACATCAAAGTACCGCGTGAACGAATAGAGAGCAGACGGCTCCTTATGCTTTTGAATTGCTCTCGCGGGACTTTGATGTCATAAACTCATCTGTCTATGCAGCGCCGGTTCAAGTCGAACAAGTAGTTATTGCAGAGGCCAGACAGACTCACGGAGGCGATTGGCATCTCACAACTCGCACTTTATTCCACAATCGAACTTGTGTAACTGTCTGTCACACGTTCTACCGTCCACAGCGTTACTTAACAAAATAAGGTAAAAATGAGCATCAAACAGAAATAACCCGCATACATGGGCATGTGTTCGAGGCGCACGACACATACGGCGCGCAGTTCTTAAAGGGGACACACCTTATTTCCACTCGCTACAGTAGGTGGACCGTTCGAATGCAGTAGGCTGTGAGAAAGTGAAAATGGAACTCGTGAGCAGAAAAAGTGTTGTTTGGCAGTACTTTCAGTGAAAGAAGGCAATTCAAGTCGAGCTACATGTTCAATTTGCAATGCCGATTTGTCTCATGGTGGCAAGGAGTCAAGGACTCTAAATAGGCTACACAACATCGCCGCTGTTAAAATGCATATAATGTTGCTTATTTTTATTTTTTATTTTATTTTTTACAGTTATAAAAGTAAAAGTAGTGTTTATTATTTACAGTAATAAAATAAAATGAAAAATCCACTTTGTTTACTTTATTAATGTGTTTACTGTGTTAATGGACTGAGGATGAGAGTAGGATTCGGTATTCGGTTTCGGATTCGGCAGAATCTTAACCAGTGGATTCGGTATTCGGCCGAACCCCACAAATCTGGATTCGGTGCATCCCTACTAATTATATAAAACTATTGTCAGTGCACTATAAATAAACTGGTTCTATGCCTTTATTAATAAAACTTATTTAAAAAATACAAGGCTTAAGACATTTATAAAAATGCCTTCTGGATTTTTGTTTTGCTTTTCACTCCATTGTACCGAAATCATACCGAACCGTGACGTCTGAACCGAGGTATGAACCGAACCGTAACTTCTGTGTACCGTTCCACCCCTAGCAGGGACGTAATCATCATGTTATCGAAGAGCGCTTAACTGGTTTCCCTCAAAGATGACTGCCGCTGGAGAACTGAGATGTAGAGATTCCGCTATCGCGTCTGTTGTAAAAGAAATCGACAGCGCATTCATTTTAAAAGACGAACAGAGAACTGCAATCAAGGCATTTGTCGATCGGAAAGATGTGTTTGCCGTCCTTCCTACGGCATTCGGCATCGGCAAAAGTTTAATTTATCAGCTGGCTCCGATGGTAACTAAGAAGATGGGACGCAATGAAAACCCTGTGGTCGCTGTGGTTTCTTCTTTGGTCGCACTCATGGAGGACCAAGTAAAAGAAGCAACATTCGTTATTTTACTTCTTCCAGCGTGCATTTGAGTTCTGTAGTTGACAACTGTGCTATGCATATTCCTTTAGTTGACTTACTGCGTTGCTCTCATTGGTTGTAGGTCTATCCAATTGAGTGCAGAGTTTTTTTTTTTCCTGGTTCGGTTAAGACACGCCTCATAATCAAAGCCCTATGGAGCAGTATCAGACTCACATTCTGACTAGAATATGAGTTTGACGAAGTCAGGCTATGAGTACACCCTAAATGGGCTAAAAAAGGGCTAAAATCAGAGTAGAAAATTAGCTTTTATTTTTAAATTATGAAAGTTTTATTGTAAAAATCTTACTAACATCTATGTAATTTGTTAAAATAATTTTATCTGGTGTGCTAAACATGAATAGTGCTCATTAACAGCTGTTGAGATTAAACCGACTAGAGACTTGGAACTGGAAACAGTATTCAATAAGTCACAATTAAACATTTGTTAACTATCATAAACTCTGTATACTCGTAAAAATGCAAACGTTTTACAAATTTAATTTAATTTTTTTATTTAATTAAATAAAAAAAAGTAATAAATGATTAATCAACTGGTGTCAACAAGATAATTGTCAACTGGTGCAGTACTTTTTCAAAAAGTAGCCTATACGTTTGTACCTAAAGGGTGCATATTAGTTCCTAAAAGATACCGCCCCAGTGACAGCTTTGTTACCTTTTTTTTGAGAGTGCAATATTTCAGTCATGGTTCGTCTCAATTTTTAAATTGCACTTTAAAATATTTTTCTTAGAAAAGAACACTGACAGTAAATTGTATAGATTAAAGTCAGTAGACGATGCCATTGAAGGGTAAACTGTTGTACCATTGACCGGTGAAAAACACAAATTATATTGAATCATCATATCCTTTAAAGTATTTTGAAAATGAAGACTGACAGATTAAAGTGATTAGATCAGATGACGCACCCTTCACTGAAGTAGTAGTAGTATGCCATGCATCAGGAGATGCTGTACAAACATACAGCAAAATTATATTGATGCTATCCTTGTAAAATAAAATAAAATAACTGAAGTGTATAGATTAAAGATAATGCACCTGTTGTTGTATGGTAATCTGGGTCCCATGCATCAGACGCATCTGTACAAAAACACAGCAAAAATTATAATGACTCCTGTCCTTACACATAGTTGACACAAAATCTGAGGGAGAGAAATGTGATCCACTTACTGAAAGCTGACCAAAGGAACAATAAAAGGATATAAAGCAGGTTCATGCTGTTATAGATTAGAGAGCTACAGCTTTCTGAGACACATGCGGGGCAGAGACTGGGTTTTAATACAGAGGAAGTCTATTAATTGTTACCAAGAAAAATAGAGTAGGAGTGAAAAGCAGAAGTGGCTATTAGGCAAGGCAAGTTTATTTATATAGCACATTTCATACACAATGGTAATTCAAAGTGCTTTACATGGAAGAAATTAAAATAATCAAAACAAATAAGAATAATTAAAACAGTTTAGAATAAAAAATAAAATAAAGTATAGTAAAAACAGTCGGACGAACAGTTGCACAGTGCTCATTCAGTAAATGCATAGCTAAACAGATGTGTTTTGAGTCTGGATTTGAATGTAACTACTGTAGGAGCACATCTGATCTCTTCTGGAAGCTGGTTCCAGCTGCGGCTGGCATAATAGCTAAAAGCAGACTCTCCGTGCTTAGAGTGAACCCTTGGTATTTCTATGATGTGATCTGAGTGATCTGTTGGGTTTATATTCAGTGAGCATATCTGCAATATAGTGAGGTCCTAGCCCATTAAATGATTTATACCAGTAATAATACTTTAAAATCAATCCTAAATGTAACTGGGAGCCAGTGTAAAGACCTGTGGACTGGTGTGATGTGTTCATATGTTCTGGTTTTCAGCGTTCTGTATGAGCTGCAACTGTCTTATGGTCTTTTTAGGAAGGCCAGTGAGGAGTCCATTACAGTAATCCACCCTGCTGGTGATAAAAGCATGCACAAGTTTCTCTAAGTCTTGACTTGAAACAAAGCATCTAATTCTTGCAATATTTTTCAGATGATAGTATGCTGATTTAGTTATTGCTTTGACATGACTACTGAAACTAAGGTCTGACTCTAGAGACACACCAAGATTCCTGACTTGATTTTTAGTTGTTAGACCCCTAGAGTGAAGGTATGCATTCACCTTGAGAACTTCATCTTTGTTTCCAAACGCAATGACTTCAGTTTTGTCTTTGTTTAACTGAAGAAAGTTTTGGCACATCCAACTGTTTACTTCATCAATGCATTGGCACAGGGAGTCATTGGGGCTGTAGTTGTTAGGCGATAGGGCTAAGTAAAGCTGTGTGTCGTCTGCATAGCTGTGGTAAGAGATTCGGTTCTTTCTCATTATTTGGCTCATTGGGAGCATATACAGGTTGAACAGGAGTGGTGCAAGAATTGAGCCTTGAGGGACTCCGCATGTCATGGATGTTCACTCAGACTTATGGTCTCCTATACTCACATAATAACCTCTCCCTTCTAAGTATGACCTGAACCATTTTAGGACTATCCCAGAAAGCCCCACCCAGTTTTCCAGCCTGTCAAGAAGTATGTCGTGATCGACAGTGTCAAATGCAGCACTGAGGTCGAGTAGTACCAGTGCTGATAATTTGCCTGTATCAGTATTTAAGCGAATATCGTTTATTATCTTTATGAACGCTGTCTCTGTGCTGTGATGCGATCGGAAACCAGATTGAAAATTGTCAAAGTATCCATTCGAGATTAAGAATTTGTTCAGCTGATTGAAGACAACTTTTTCAATGATCTTGCCTATGAAAGGAAGATTTGAGATCGGTCTATAGTTGCTTAATATAGTCTTATCCAGATTGATTTTTTCAGGAGGGGCTTGACAACTGCAGTTTTCAGGGAGTTTGGAAAACTACCAGAAAGAAGTGAGGCATTAACCACTTTTAGGAGATCTGCTTCTAAGCTGTTTAACACACATTTGAAGAAAGATGTGGGAAGTGCGTCAAGGGCGCAGGTTGATGTTTTAAGGTGCTGTACGGTTTCTTCCAATATGATGATTTGCCATCAATTTCTTTGAAATCAGACATAGTAACTACATTCTCAGGTTGTGGTCTGATTTGTCTGACCCCAGTGCGGCTCAAGGATGAGCTGATCACCTTTCTGATATTATTGATTTTCTCAGAGAAGAAAGTAGCAAACTCACTGCACTTGCCGTCTGAGAGCATTTCACTGGGAATCTGGCTTGGGGGGTTTGTCAGTCTCTCTACAGTAGCAAAAAGAGTGCGTGTGTTTAAGTTGCTGTTTATAATATTTGAGAAGAAAGTCTGTCTAGCTTTGCCTAGTTCCATATTGAAAGCATGGATGCTGTCTTTGTAGATGTTATAATGGACTACAAGTTTTGTCTTCCGCCACTTGCGCTCTGCTCTTCTGCATGTTCTTTTCATATTTTGCACAGCTGTTGAGTTTCTCCAAGGTGCTTTTTGTCTACCACTCTTCCTGACTTTCACAGGAGCAATATCATCTATTACACCTTTAACCTTTGAGTTAAAATAATCAAGGAGAAAATCAACAGAGTCAGCAGATATGCTTGGTTTTAAAGATATGGCCTTCATAAATAGCACACTAGTGTTCTCATTTAAGCATCTCTTCTTGACAGACACAGATCTAGCTTCAATGGCAGGAGAGATCAATATATCAAAGAAAATACAGAAATGATCAGACAGTGCTACGTCCTTAATAACGATCGATGAAATGTTTAAACCCTTACTGATAAGTAAATCTAGAGTGTGTCCACGATTGTGTGTGGGACCATGTACATGCTGAGTCAGATCAAAGGTTTTTAAAATAGTTTTGATTTCTTTTGCCATATTTGTATCATTATCTATGTGAATGTTAAAATCTCCAGTAATAGCAAAACAGTCAAACTCTGAGGAAATTGTTGATAGCAGTTCTGTAAAGTCCTCAGCAAAGGCTGGAGAGTATTTTGGAGGCCTGTAAATAATGATAAGTAAAATGCGTGGGGCACCTTTTAACACAATACCGAGATATTCAAAAGAGGGGTAGTTACCAAATGATGTTTGCTTACATTGATAGACATCTTTAAAAAGAGCAGCTACTCCCCCTCCTCTCCTAACAGCTCTGCAGACACTCATAAAAGTAAAGTTAGGAGGGGCTGTTTCATTGAGGACTGTTGAACTGCAGCTGTCTTCTAGCCAAGTTTCATTTAGAAGCATAAAATCCAGGTTGTATCTGTGGTTATGAAGTCATTGACTAGAAGTGATTTATTTTTAAGTGAGCGGATGTTTAAAAGTGCTAACTTAACAGTTTTACTTTTTGTTACTTTTGTCTTAGTTTGGCGTGTAATAGGCACCAGATTATGACAAACATAAACTTTATACACAGCAAAATCTTCATTGGTAAATAAACACCACTCTGTGTTTACATAGGAACCACCAGCAGTGTGTTAAAGACCCCCTGCAGTGAAAATCAAGTTTTTAATGTTGTTTATTTATGTCTATGTGGTGTTTTCAATATAAAAGTTTTCTAAAAGCATTCTTGTGGCTCAGTGACACACCTGAATGAAAGGCTCATTAGTATGCAGCCCTATTAGTATGCAGCCTCATTATGCGCTCATTATGCGGGCCCATTGTCTTCTCAGGTGTGAATCACAGCAAGTCACGCCTCAGCGCATATTGCCTTTCCAAACAAAAAGTGTCAAATAAAATTTAAACGAATGTATTGTTTTATGTGAATGATTAGAAAGGATGATTTTCAGATCATTTTGAAGAAAAAACTCAAGGCGACAACATCCATTAGTCAAAAGTCTTGTGGACACATATTTAGTATGTGTTTTGTGGCCTTATTTCAGAAACTTTAAGTTTTAGTTTTTTCAATAACCACGCATAAACAATATTCTCTCAAAAATACAAACATGTACATACATGTTGCTCAGATATTATGGTAGCCCTGTTTGTGCTAAATAGAGTGTAATTACACCTTTGCCAGTAATTTGTTTATAAGCAACTGAAAAAAGCATAAATGTTAGGGCATGTCAAAACATCTGAAGGACCCAAAAAAAACCTTAGACCCCAGAGGGTTAAGACAAACCATGTGTAAATTCATAAATCAACACCATTGCTGAGTATTTTCTCCTTAAAACTGCAGTGAACCAGAGACGGTCTCAAAAACGTGGTTTAAAATCGTCTCTGTTCTCTACGTCACAAATATTTTACCCAATCACGTCTACGTGCGGGTGGGCTTTAGCATATCATTATGCTGCGAAGCAGGGAGTCTCAAGCGAAGCCAGGTTATCCGGGTATATTTTTCTGTTGATATGAAAAATCAGGTACTTTTAGCAATATAGCGGTTGAATTATGTTTATTATGTAAGGGAAACATCAATTTAGCTCAAAGGGAATTATTAAATAATTTTATATTATATAATTTTTCTATTTATTAGCACGGTAACAAGATCAGCAAGTTATTGAATTCGTAAGCACTTAGCCAAGACACTTCTCTTTAAATACTAATGAGACTTTGATTATTTTAACACATAAAATGAATATCTAACACACATTCACACGAGTTGCAGAAAGAAAGAAAGTGAAAGGAAAGAATGAGTTTTAAGAGAGTGAAATGATGAAATCCCAAGTTTCAATGCACTTTATAGGACCTGACCTATGTCTGGTGCTATAGTTCTTCCAACGTTAAGCATAAAATCCCGATATGTAATTTGGAAGCATACCCAGCAATGCCTTTACAGTATATATACTAACATGTGATTTCCTTCTTTCATATAAAGAGGACCAACCTACATAGTTGTACAGTAAACAATGAGTACGTGAGCAAGCATTTGTTATAAAAACGCAGTGCAGCATGATAAACACCATCCAGCTTTTAATATATAAATATAAATATTTAAGCATGCATATAAATAACATCACCATAGTCTAAAATGGGTAAAAAAGTACTCAGCATAATTTATTTTTGCCGAAAAAGAAAACCCAGTCTTGGTTGAATACTTGTATTCCTAAATACTTGTAAGTTTTTACTCTTTCTATATGCAGATCATCAATATTAAGATAGACAGAGCAGTGTTCATAGAAAAAGCTGTGCGTAAAAATAATATACTTAGTTTTGTTTAAATTTAAAACTAATTTCAGTTTTAGTAAAGTAAGGTGAAAAGTTTAGAAAGGATCCTGGGGTTGCATAAACAAAGCCATTATGTTAAGACTTAAGTACCAGTATGACCAACAAGCAGTAAGTCAAAGGACAATCAGTTAGTATCAAATTAGACCAG